GGAAGCAATGTGGAGGTTCATCTGGGTTTGTGTTTGGCAATTCTCATTCTGCAATGATGTTTGATCCACCAGTGTGTGGAAATTTTAGTCTGTTTTTTCATGAGATGATCGTCTTTCCAATAATCTCCCAATTTTTGAATTGCAAATAATTTTAGCATTAAAGCACAGCCAAGGACCAAAAAAGTTTATCTCAAAATAGTATGTTAAGATACTATAATCTTTCAAGAAACAGCAAACTATTTTCCATGTAATGCCATTTTGGAACTCCTATTAGCACTAATTTAACCATTTCATGATTGCTAAAAGAAGCATTTACCGTTTCAAGCGGATGTTCGTGAAAAGCTTCCTTGCAGCAGCTCTAGTGAACATCTTAAAACCACACTGTAAAATGCAAAGAAACTCGAGTAAAAATAAATAATAAATTGTTTCGAATTTCATTTATTTATCAGGCATGTTCAAAAATTATCCCTACACTGAAAAGAAACGTCTGCATCAAAAAAGTCGATGCATGATTACCTGTGTGTCACGAATTCCAGAACCAGCAGCCAAGAGAACTACCATGTGGAAACCTTTCATTAAAAAATTCCGGTACCACTTTCTCTGTAACAAAATATGAACTTTTTAGCAGATAAAAAACAATTATATAAAGTTTAAAGGTAACAATTTTAATGAGTGCAGAAGGCAACACAAAGCATCAAGACTCAACCGTTGCTAGAGCCTTCTCCTCAAGATGAGCACGAGAACCAAAAGCAGCAATTGGTATGTCCGAAATTCTTAAAGTTGAATCACTGGCTGCAGAGTCTCCAAACTTGTGTTCCTTCTTAGCAACTACAAGAATCTGTCACGTAAATCATTATATACGTTAGCTGAGCTCTCAGTTTCCTAATTCTAAAATTTGACATCTTAAAATAGAAGATTCTGCAACAAAAATAAGATTTTTATGATACACAATCTATAATCAAAGTGGGTACCAACCTGATTTTCAAGTTTTTCAAGATCACTCACTTTGGTTGCTCCATCAGCATCAAGCATTAAAAGTAGTTCACCACGAGAGTGAAGCATTCCCTGTTTTACAATGCTTTCGCAGAAGCAAAAAGCTTCAATCAAATGTTATAAAATGGATGATTCGGAACATAAAACATCAGCAGAAAAACTCCTAACTGAATCAACAAATTGTTCAGATTAGACTCACTTTTCTTATTGCTTCTCCCTTGCCATGGTTCCTTCCAAGAAGGATAACTCTTACATTTTCAACTGTGTATCTTTTCGCAAAGTCAAAAGCTACTCGTTTTGTACCATCAACACTTCCATCATCGACAATCACCACCTAATCCAGCATTTATTTATTAAGAATGCAGAGAAACCAAGAAAACTGCATGTCCCTATAATCAGTTAATATAAAACAATATGATGCAATTCTTCTGCCAAAGCTCAAATGTGACAGGTGGCATAACGGGCTTCATCGTTTTGGAACCTTTAAAGTGATAAAAATCTTGACACTGGAAACTAGACTCTCCACAACGTATCACACTCAGAAAGGGGCGTCAAGGTTTAAATGGTAAGAGTGCTGCAACTATTTGACAATTAGCAAAAGATGTAATGTAGGCATTCTCAATCACATGTATGACACGAAAAAGTATAGCAGACAAGCCTGGCCCACCATCATGTAGAAGGAGCAAAGTCAAGTAAACACACACACCAAACTTGTAAATTTATTTAGACAACTTGATAAATTCATGATGTTTGAAACCAAATTATAGGTTCAAATCTGGCTTCAGAAAGACTCCCCTACTAAATCTAACTTGCAGTTTCTTTAATTAGTTTGTAAATTCAGTATCAATTCTCAATATTTGCTCTCAAGAGCTTATTCTCATAAATCGCAGAAGAGAACTAAGCCGAGATAATTAGAAACCAGTTTACATCATTACTTGGTAATATCTGACATTAGATGCATATGCCACATCAAATTTACTACGAATACAACAACCAAAATACAACATGTACAGTTGTACACCTTCTATGCTTAAACAAATATTATGTGTAAGAAATATACTTGCAGTTTCTTTAATTAGTTTGTAAATTCAGTATCAATTCTCAATATTTGCTCTCAAGAGCTTATTCTCATAAATCGCAGAAGAGAACTAAGCCGAGATAATTAGAAACCAGTTTACATCATTACTTGGTAATATCTGACATTAGATGCATATGCCACATCAAATTTACTACGAATACAACAACCAAAATACAACATGTACAGTTGTACACCTTCTATGCTTAAACAAATATTATGTGTAAGAAATATAAACCTAAATAAGATTTCCTTATTAATCTGTCAAATAACTCATATAGCTAAAACCGACCAACCTTTACTCTAAGTGGTAGCATTAGCTGATTTCATGATTGAGAGGTAATTGTAATTGTGCTAAATTTTCACATACTAAATTCCATTTTATTTTTATTTTTTCTTTGTTGGCATCATCAATTTTTAATTTGAAAATGGTTCTCCAGCACTGCATCACTCATTCAACACTTAACTGATTGGAGAAAACAAGAAGTTTCAAGCTAGCTCTAATTATATCTTTACATAATTGACAAGTTTATTCATCGAGACACAACTAAACCCACAAATATTGAGACTTCTTACTGATAAAAGATCCTACACTAAAAGAGCTGCTTAGTCAAACATTCACATAAAAACAATAGAAGAGACACCCAAGAAGAAATTGAGCGTTCCACCCACTTTGCAGCTTTGGCTCGCTCATCTCTATCTATCTAGATCCACAAGCATCAAAAAAGCTATTTATGGACTAAAAATACTATTCTGGACAACACTTGAGGCTTACAAGAAACATATTATAAAACTTCCCAATTTCTAGAACCAAACCATGTGATGGAAGAATTAAAGAAAAATATTTATGTGCCATACCTCGTACGAAAATGACTTGTCCTTTTCTGCTCGTTGCTGAAGATAACTACAATGCCAAAATAGCAAAACATTATGCTTATCAGATATTTTAATCATGGTAAGCAAAAAGAATTTTCGACAACCATGATGCATAGCTAAATGGATATCTGAATATTTCTAAATGCAATTTCACATGTATAAGTACTCTCTATCTGTGCCAAGAACCATTTGCAAGAGGCCCAGGAGTCCTCTCTCCCACTTGCTTAAACATAAATCTTATATAAGGCTCTAGTAAAATTTGTAGAGAACCACCATCGAACACTCTCTTAGAAGGGATATACAGCAAAATAAGGGGATCTCTTAAATTTTAGATTATATACAAGAAGATCCATGTGTGCTATACAACTTTATCAAAGGATCCATTAAAGGACTGATCACATTATATTGAGGTAGGCGGTGCCTAATAGAGGGCAGTGAATCAGGCACTTTTAATTACTGAATCTATAAATAGTATAGATAGTTCACATCCCAAATTTACTTGTTTGTGAGTTTAGGTAGTGATAGAGGTACAACCTTGAAGGCCAAAGAAATTTAAAATTCTAAAATAAGCATAACACATGCATGTCTTCCACATGCGTGTCTACATGTAGTTTCTGACTTAATTGGGATTTCCTATATGTAGACCGAGCTGTCAAGCCCGGACTGTACAAAAAGCAAATCCCTAATTGCCAGAAATTTCATCATCTCGAGTATGGGGAGCCTTTGAAATTAAAATTTGGACAAATTAACGTTAATAAAAAAAATCAACATGTGCGTGTAGACGATAATGTCAGATGTTGCAAGTAACCATAGAGCATAGAAAGTAGACACAATAACAGATCAATCCTTTGACTTACTTCAAGGTTTCATCAAGTGCTCCTGGAAGCCTATGTTCTTCATTGTACGCTGGAATAATCAATGATATGTACTTTTCAGCAGGATCAAGAATTTGAGGACAAGGAACCTGAAACAGAGACATTCCGCACAGTAATTTACCAAATCAACATAGATGTCTGTTGATTAGTTATCCAAATAACAGCCAGCGATATGGACTTCAGATATTAAAGTACACATAAAGTAGAATAAGCCAACGATATTTCATCAACCCGCAATAACCCGCATACGTTATCTCCAATAAACCCAGAACCTCAAAATATTTGAATGAAACCCAGAATTTGAGTATATATTCATTCTTCAATTTCCAAACAGAAATAAAAAAATCAAGGTAATAAAATGCTAAATAATGATGAGAGTGCATAAAAATACAAATAATTTTTTTATGCATACCGGTTTCAATGAATTTGGATCCTCGAAAATTGGAGGAGCTTCAACGTGACTGCCAACATAATATTCCAAACATCAAAAATAAGAAGAGTATGGATATGTTTTGAGTAAAAAACCGGATTGTTCCCAATTTTTGGGAGGCGAAGGAGCATACGTGTGATTGTATTTTCTTCTGATTGTTTCAAAAACTATGGCGGCCAATAATCCAAGTGCGAAAATCGAAGCAAAAATAAATAGCGACTGAAACATCATCCACACGAACCCCATTTCTGGATTTGGAGTTCAAACTATGGGCTCCGGAAATGGGGATTAGATCGATGAATTGTTGATAAACTGAAACATAAATTAGCAAAGTTAGAGAATCAACTGTATAGAAAATCTTGAAGCCTTGAAGAAATTTGTTTTCTAGGTTAGATGATACAGTCGAGGGATTATAAACCGGCACATCAAATGTTCGAATCGAGTTGCAGAAACCTATTTCATCTGGTCAAGGGTTAAATTCACTAGCCACCCAACTTTATTAAGTGCTTGTTTGTTTGACTGGGATTTTGATAAGAGTGTGTTTGATTACATTTATTTTTTATGAAAAATATCAATTTTTCACCTAAATTTCTATTTTGATTGTTTGATTACTATTTTTTCCATGGAAAATATTTTCCAACTTTTGAAAATATGTCTAATTTTTCTTGTTTTTAAGGAAAATATTTTTCTTGGATAGAGGTGGTTTTTATTTTTCACAAAAGATGGAAAACGTTTTCTTTTCTAGTTGATATTTTTCATGTTAATCAAACACACTAATTGATTTTTTGATCGTTAGAGATAAAGTGGTCCTATTCGTAAGGAAAGAATTTAAAAAATGACGATTAGAATAATGAAATAACGGTCAAAAAGTTGATTTTAATTGACTTTTAAGCTATACCAAACAAGTTCTATAATTAGGATTGCTAACATGAAATTTACGGGAAAAAATAAATTTCAAGCAATTAAATTGTCTAGTGATTATTTAAATGGAAATTGTAAATTAAATTAATGTGATTGATTTTATTTTCAATATAAAAAATGTTATACTTGTTCATTTTTTATTGGTGGGAAGATGAAAAATGATAGGGTAGACGAGAGAGAAAGAGAGGGTGAATTATCGGAAACATAAATACCTATTATCCCTCGTGATTAAAAGTTGGAAAAATATTTTCTATGGAAAAAATATTAATCAAACAGTACGAAAGTAGAAATTTAGATTAAAAATGACACTTTTAATGAAAAATATTTACAATCAAATGCACTCTCAGTATCACCATGATTACCTAATTAGATTTTGTTTCATTATAACCATCCAACATTATATTTAGTGTCACAATAACTACCAAATTTCATATAATGTTTCACATTAACAACCCTACTTCATATAACGTTTTACAATGACAACCCAAGTTCGTATAACGTTTCACCATGATCACCCAATCTTATTTCAACATTTTCACTAATTTTAAAAAGGGTAAAACAGTAACTTTACATTATATATAAAATAAATTTTAAAAAACAAAAATAAATAAAAGGGAAAATTGCAGCAGCGATACCAAACTTTTCGTTTATTAGCAGACTTTGCTCAAACCTTTAGTTTATGCCACCGTGAGTACCAAACTTTAAAAAACTCGCACCTGAGATCCAAATCGATGGTTTCTGTTAGTTTGACCGTTAGTTGACCCAATAAATTGACTTTGACTAATTTTAAAAGGGATAAAATTATAACTTTGAATTAAACTTAAAAACAAAAAAACAAGAAAAGCAAAAAATCAAAAGCATATAACTGTTCTTCTTCTCTTTCCCACCCCCATTGTTTACCATCTCCTTGATACCCGATCCCAAATTAATCAGATACCACAGTCGTCGTCGTCGTCGCATCCTGCTGCCTGCCGCTTCTACTACAAAACTCATCTTATCATCAATTTCATCATCTCAAATCACAAACCATTATCAAACCAATCAAGAAACCATTTCATTCCCATCAAGAATTTCCAAGTCAATGTAATATATGGTGGCAGAAACACACCTTACAGCCACACCCACCATTTCAGACCACCACCGGTAGACACGTACACCACATGGTGATTCAACAAAATAGGGCCAAAACATCAATGTATTTTCTGGGATTTTCCCATTGTTCAATCCACAAATTCACCTACGATAACTCATATTCATACTTAAACGACTGTGGGTACACAATTAATTGATCTAGTTGCTGCTCAATTGCCTCGTAATTCGATCCTTGAAATAGCAAGTTGACGGTTCCGTCAATTGCAGTTGGCAGCCAAAATATTGTTCTTCCATCCATTGTGATTCACCAGTGGTCGAAGTGGGCCTTTCCTTACTTGTTTTGTGAGAGCTAAAATATTGCGTAGTAGATATCTTCGATTTGGAAGGGATGATGAATACGGGGTGTGTTAATTTAGGGTGGAGGAGTGGAGGTGATGATCAATACTTTTTATTTTTTGGGATGGGGATGGGGGTGGACTGACTTTTTTCTTTTTATTAATCTATGTTTTATTTTATTTTTATTTCAAAGTTACCATTCTACCCCCTTAAAAATTGGTCAAAATCAATTTCTTGAGTCAACTAACAATGAAATTAATAGAAATCATTCATTTGGACTTCAGGTGCTAGTTTTTCAAAGGTTTGGTACTCACGGTAGTACAAACTAAAGGTTTGGGTAAAGTCTGCTAATAAAAGAAAGGCTTGGTACCCCTGCTACAATTTTCCCTAAATAAAAACTTATTTTTTTAAAATGTAATAAAATAAAAGCTTATTTTGAAAAAAAAAAATTACTTAAAATAAAAAATAAAATAAAAACTTATTTTAATAAAAACATTTTAAAAATAAAACAGAAACTTTTTTTTAAATGTTACTTAAAAAAAATAAAATAAATACTTATTTAAAAAAAGTTTACTAAGAAAAAATAAAATAAACTAAAAACTTTTTGTAAATAAAAATTTTTAATTTATGTTCTTTTTTTAAATTTATTATATATATATAATGCAATGTTACTATTTTACCCATTTTAAACTTAGTGAAAAGAAATGAGCTGATCATAGTGAAATGTTATATGAAATTGGGTGGCCATGGAGAAATAAAATTAAATTTGGTGGCTATAATGATACTAAATATCAAGTTAGATGACCATGATAAAACAAAATTAGATTGGATGACTATAGTGATATTAAGTATAAAGTTGGTGATCATTGACGAATTTAACCCTATTAATATTTATAGAACCATTTATAATTTGTGAAATCACCTTTTCATGATTGTAAACCTCCAATATATACTAGCATTTATTTCCATATTTTAGCCCATATTTGATAGTGATTATAATCTTAATTTTAGTCTAAGCAAAAGTTAATAATTAATTTTAATCATATATTTCATAGTTTTCACAACTTTTCAATCATAAATTTGATCGAAGTTCATCAAAATCTAATAAAAATTTGATATACTTAACAATTTGACTTTCCAAATAAAATTAAAGGTATAGTTTTTCCACAATAACCGATACACAAAAACAATTTATGTGTTGACCTCAATTTTCTTAAGGATGACATGGCCAATAGATCCCGACTCCTTCTCACATTCATGTACTTCTTTTGATATACTTGGACAAATCATTAGAGCACATGTCCAATCTCCAACAATAGAGAGAAGATCGCAAGCACTTCAATTGTGAAGTTAGTTTGTAAAAGTATATTTGAGTGTGGGATGTGCTTAAGACGTGGACCACTTATGTAGAAAGGGGTTCAGATCCAATAGTTATAAAGAGTGATGAGATAGCAAAGTATAGCTTGAGAATATAAAATTGAATTTCCTTTGAATGGCAAAATATGTGAACTTTTACCCAATTCTTAGTCCACTTATTTATAGATTGTAAATTTTATGATATTCTAGTGAGTATCCGATGTGAAAAGTGAGAAGTTAGTAATAATGAAAAGCAATTGTAACTGTTTGCTCCTTTGATTGTTTAATTTATAAAATAAAATAATTATTATTTTCATCTTATTTTAATTAATAAAAAAGTTTAAATATCTTGAAATATGTCAATGAACAATATTATACTATTATCTTATTATTTATTATTTGAAGATTATGAGTAAAATATAATATAAGTTTCAAATGGAAAAAAATTATGTGTAATAAATTATGCGATAATATATAAAATATATTATATTATTATAATAAATCAAATTGAGTTGTTATCGGATCAGATTGACCTATATTCATATTTGTTTCATTTAGTTAACGGATTATTGGATTCGGATCTTGATCGGGTTATCGAACTGATACCCTAAATCTATTTCCCATTAATTTGATCGGATTCGAATCAAAATCAAATCTATTGAGAGCCCCAATCATAGTTATCGATCGATCAGTCCTAGGCTCATGTGTATTAAATATTATAACCCTTTGCAAACCTAGGCCTAACATATAAGGGTTAAACTTGATATGTTGACTCAATATAGTGGCTATTGCAATGTGTTGTCACATAAACCATACCATAATTGGAAGATCTTGTACGGAAGATCCTTTTACAGCGACTCTATTTGCCTCACATCATCTATGAAAATCCGATCGTCTGTATGCCTTCAACCTTGCTCATGGGTTCAAACTATTCGTAAGGGTTCAACCTCTTCATGGAGGTTCATCCAATTGCCAAATGGGCAGAATGACATAGAATGAGGGCTCAAATCGCTTGATGTGTGATTGAAATGTGGTCATGCTTGGAGCCTCATTAAAAAAAGACGTAACAATAATACCCCAAATTTATGTATGAATATTCATATAATATGTGGACTTTTGGGTGGAAGTGTGTTGTCTTGTTCGCGCCTCATGTTCTGTTCCTAAAGAGGCGGTGCTCTGGTATGGGTTATTTGATGTTAGTTGAACACGTGCTTTTCTAACATCTCAATTTTGAAGGAATAATGTAGCATAATATGAGTAAGAAAATAATGGTAAAATTGGTGCGTTTAATATGTTGAGTTAAATAGAATATAACTTGATTAGAGTTTATTTATAATCATTTTGATGTACTGAATACCTCTTTTTATATGTGATGACATGGAACTGAATTTATGGGATGTGTTTTATTGCATAATAGGTGGACTTGAAATTTTATTTTATTCTGAACATATTTGGTATTTTTTATTTTAAGTAAAGAAACTGAAAAAAGCTTAGGACCGACCAAGAGAGCCAAACTCAAGCGACTGCCTATCTTTAGAGTCGATTCTAAACAAATAAGGTCCAATCATTTCAAGTTTGAAGGGTCAAATTCACTTTTACATCTCTAATAAACATAATAACATTAGAAATTTGTAAATAAATAATATAAATGTCAACAATGAGATTGTTAACACTAACAATTCACTAGTAATGGTACTAAGAATTAAAGATACAGATATGGTAAAAAGGTTATCTTTTGGAATTGTAAAGTTGTAAGTTTTGTGCCATTTTGAATTAATTTCACTCATCTTGATGTGAAAAAGTCGAGAGTTTTCCTTATCCCCACACTTTTCATTTAGCCCCAGTTTGATGATCATTATTTTCAAAAAAAAAAAATAATATTTTGAATATGATTTCCCGGAGAATATGCAGTCAAAAAGTATGAAATAGTTTTGAATTTATGTACAAAATATTTTATTGTATAAATACGCAATTGAAAATGTGTATGAGATTTAAAGAATTTTGTTTTAAAGGGAGATAAAAGGGAATTAATAATTCGTTCTTCCATAGTATATTTCATGAGGCAAATTAATTTCCATTGCTGGCCAAATTGTACTTCAATTATGGAAGTTGCTTTTTCCAATTTAAATATCAAATAAAATATTTGCAAGATAATACACTTTTATTCGTGGAGGATATGCCAATTGAGGTGAAGTTCGTTTTCTAGTACAATATCTGCTAATTTTCATTTGATTGTGTGATACATTGTGACAAAGTCTCCATTTTGCAAGAAGTCATGAATAATTTAATTTATAAATAAATAAAATGAATGATGAATAAATAAATGAACCTTACTGTATTGACCCTCCACCTATCATAGGACGTCAACTGGCTCCCTGGTAAAGAAGTATAAATTAAATAAATAGTAGTCGTGAGAAATCTTTCGAATATAATTAGAGTCAGTTTGATAAGACTTATATTCTTGTAGAAGAGATTCACGAGGACGCTATTTTAATTAGTGTTTGAAAACTAATTCTAAAAAAGTTTTCTTTTGAAAAAGCTTTTAGAAAAAAACCACGATATTCTAAACTTTTATAAATACTTTCTAACTACAATAAACACTTTCTTAAAACTAATCAAACGAATTCAAAAGTAACTCTTGAATATCAAAAATTTCTTTTAACTTCTTAAAAATCATGCCAACAAACCCCCCAAGTGTATGAGAGTGAAATTCACAATCTTTAAGCATGTGAAAGTATTTTTTAAGTTACTCAAGTTTACCACTACACCGTTTCCCTTGTCGATCATTTGTCATATCTAAAGCCTAACACTAAGCCAATGTTTGGTTAATGTTCATAAATTATTATTAATCGATCAAAATACATTTTATTCATTTTTAACCTCACGTTCTTTAATAAAATAATATTACACGTAAACCCAAAAATTTTCCTTACTTTTTAACTACACATTCTTCAAAATATTATTATTTCAAATACATTTTCTCTTAAACCTCATTAATTAAAAAAGAATAAATGTATAGATAAAAAGTTATCTAAATACCATGTGCCAAACATATGCTAAGATTTCAAATCAAAACAAAATTAAGGGGTGTTTGGTATTGATTTTTAATCCCAAAAAATCAAAATTTTGACCGTTATTTCACTATTAAAACCGTCATTTTTTACTGTTTCTCTCAGAAGTAGGACTCACTTTTTTCTCCAACGGTCAAAAAATAAATTCTCAAAATCACAACAAAACAAGCCATAAAACGTTACACGTTATTTCTTCATTACTAATTATGTTGGCCCTCTGCACGCAATAATAAGGTGTCTGTGAAAGGCAAATATAAATTAATTTGGAGCATTTATTAAAGAAGTGGGCCTTCTACTTTTAAATATGGAGCCATTTGGGCTGTGGAGTGGGTACCAAATTAAAAAAGCCATTCTTCTGCCCTCACTTTTTTTCTGTGATAGAGGTGGTATTCATCCCTTCACAGTTCATCCCTATTGCCTTTTTCTACCTTTAACTCTCACACCGCACCTTTTCCTCAACATATCATCATTCATTGACATCATAACACCCACCACACATCAAGCTTGTTTGGGTCATTATAATTTCGATCATACATTCATAACTATTACTCACTTATTATCTACACATTTCGTGAAAATCGTTATTTTTATTTATTATAACGAAATCCAGACAAGCACTAAATGTCATGTCCAATCCAATATTACTGAAAGTAATTGAATACGAATCGAAAATTGCATTTAAGTGAACAACTCAATTTAGAATGATTCGCTTTGCTATGTGCACTTGACCACTTGTCGTTGCTAGATTTCACTATAACGAAACTCTTGCATCTCTCGTTTTTTCTATCTGCTTAGAAAACATGCCCGTCTTAATACCTCTTCACTTAATATTCTTATTTTAATATTAATTCTTATATTTTTCACTTATTATTATATGTTATTTGAACAACTATTTGGGCGTTGTACTAGAAAGCCAATATTTTGGGCTCATTCAATGTGTATTGTTGTACTCTTTTGACTCATTTTGGTCTCTAATTCAAATAGAAAGAGACTTCCACTTGACAAAAAGTTCGTTGGCATAGAACTAAACACAATTATGATAAGGACTATTAACTGTACCGAATAGTCGAGTAGAGTCGAGTTTATCGCACATCATGAAGGTTCAAAACCATAGTTTGGTGGGTGACCTAAAAGGAGGTCATCAACATTACAAGATGGTTGGGTTACATAGAAGCATAGTCTTTTGGATAATAACCCTTCTCCTAAACTTTGATTAAACAAACATTATTTATCATCTGAAATTTGTCAAGAAAACGACATATGTAACTAACTTTAAATTAGTTAATTCTAGGATTCCTTAAAAAATAGTTCACCAGCAAAATCTGCAATTATTTATAACAAATACATGAGTACGAAAAGAAAAGAAAAAAGGACTCCACGGATAATCAATTTGAAAATCCTCTACCCAATAAAAGAAAAAGGAAATATATTGTCAGTCAGCTTGAATTGAAAAAGAAAGAGAAAATTAAAGAAGAAAATGATGAAGAAAACATGCCTAATGAGCCATGGCGACTGGCGCCGAGTAATTAATGCTTTTCTGGTTGGGCATGGCGAGCATAGTAGTATGGTCAATGAAATCTTTGAGATCAACAACTGATTGAAGAATTGTTCGAAGATCATCTGCGCATGAAAACCCTAAATTCCCAATTCTTCTGACTGCATAAACATAGAATGTGATGCATCCTTTCCTGAATTTAAATCTCGCCATTTCACACCCCATCGTGCCTCTAATGAGCTTCTTGTTCACTTCTCCGAGTGGTATTTCCGGCGGCCATAGCCCGTCCATCGCCGTCTTCATATTCTCCGATTCAAAAACGAATATAAGTACTTTCGATTTCTTAGTCCCAAGGCCTAATGTCAGTGTATGCCATGCATGATGCGCTAAAATTGTGAAGTTTGTGGGGAGAAAAGCGGTGGTTGAAGGGAAAGGCGGCTTCCAATTGGTTGTTTTTTCCTGGTGGTGAGCGGTGGTTGGCGGCGGAAGAGAGAGGAGGCGGAGGAGTTCTAACGGCCTTGCGCGCCGAATTGTGAAGGACTTTACAATGAATTGGCCGCCAAATCTGAGTCCCTTCACTTCCGGACAAGGCTTAAATGCAAAATCAGATGCAATTTTGGAATTTTGATCATTTGGGTGCAATTTTTTTTGCTTCTTGCTCTTGTTTTTCACTTTTTCTTCCATGGAATTTGGCTTTTTGATTTTCTAGATGAATTGGTAGTGGAGGGGTTTTTCTTGGGATGCTATGATTGATGAACTAGCGTAATGATTATATATACAATTTCATGTCATAATATATTATCATGTCTATGACATGATAATAAAAAAAAAAAAAAAGTTGAACCCCAACTTTAAGGGTCACCCACTGTTCCTGCCTTGGAGTATCGTGAGAGAGGTAAATTGCAGGTTATACCTCCAAGGGTACACGGTGGAAGGCTGCTTGTACACTTGCACTTACCCAAGAGTCAAATCCATATTTCAGGATTCGAATCCTTAACGCGACAGCCTCAAGCAAAGCTGAATTTCTCCACCCTCTCCTTTTACCACTTGGAGATGTGCTCTGGGGGCATATGACATGATAATATATTATATGCTAACTGGTTGGCTCTTGATAAGGGGAAATTTATTGCCAATTCCCATTTGTCGTGTTTAAAAAAAAAAAAAAATAGTGGTCCTCACTTATTTATACGACGTCAGGGTAGACATTTTAATTAGAATCGAACCTTCTAATTTTGTTCAATTTTAAGAAAAAAAAATTTAGAAATCAAAATCGAGAATTGATAGGGTTTGAACTATTTTTTATTCTTGAACAAGAACCGTGGGTAGCTGACTCTAAAATTGAATTTGTCATTTTTAAAAATATTTCATTTTCTACAATTTATTCTCCTCGACCCAATTGGATGCAAAGAAAACTATGGAATGAAAAAAAAGTTGACAATGTTGTCATTATGCTAAATGAATTTATGTTGTTTTTAGTATTTTTAGAAACTAGTACTTATTTATGACTGATTTCTAGTTTTTGATTTGGTCTTTGGATATGTAATTTGGTATTGCTGCTAGATATTGAATGCTATTGATGACATATTTTATTTCTTCTATTTTTGCTAAATAATGGAAAGATAAATTGCATTATCAACTCACGATTTCTCAAAACATTGTTATGGATAGAATTCAATTTGAATATGAATATGAATCGATGATTCTAGTTTGAGTTTGACTCTAGTAATTGAATGGTTTCATTTACGAAATACATATGGCATAATAGGTAATTCCAAGTATTTAAATATCTGGACCGATGCATCCAACATCCAGGCCTATAAGAGACGTGCTTTTATAATTTAATTTTTGGCCAATAAGTTTAATTTGCAAACTTATGTTATTTACTTAATAAACTTATTTTTGCAGAAAATAATTTATAAAAAGGTAAAATTTAACCATAATCAAACATGCTTTGACCCTGTATTTTGTTGAACATGTTAATTCTAAGGTGTACCACAACTAAAACTAGGGAAATATATTCCCAGAAAAAAACTATTTTTAACATAAAGGAAGTAAAAATTCATCGATGGCAATCCTCCTCGTCAGCCTCATTCGTTCTCTGACACTCGCACAAGAAGAGGGGAGTATATCTCTTGTCAAGTCGAAATGGAAAGGATACAAAAAATAGGAGAATAATTTATGAATGGCTCTTGTTGCTACCATTATGACTCTCTTTTGGTATAGATTCTTCTATGGTTAGATTAGCTTTTTTTTTACCGTTATGTATGTATACGGAATTAAGCGATTCCCTTAGATGGTCCACTGTCAGATCTTTCTTTACTGCTCGATAGCTTTCGAACCCAACGAGGTCCGAGATCTTTCCAAGGATCAAAACTCGATGGCATCAACTCATTGAGTGCCTTACGGTTTAACCAACCGTCAAACATGTGACATCCTTTTTCTATTTTCTCATAATCTTTTATATTCACTAATTCTTTTGTTGCAATTTTTAGATTAGGTGTATTATTAATCGGAATCCATACGTTAGGTTTTGAAAACCCCTTTCGTGAGGGTATAAGTAACATGGTGTGTGTTGTGTGTACCTAATCCTTTTCGTTGTGTGGTGAGATGCATATCAATCAATGGATACTGGTACTTCAAAGAATGGAAATGTGTACCCTATAAAATGTTGGGTTGTGTTATGGGTACATTATGGACTCCATAATGGTGTCCATAATGCACACATGGCGCCCCCTATTGCAGGGGCGCCTGGCCCACCCGGCACATCTCTAATAGGGGGCACCATGTGTACATTAAGGACACCAAGCATTATTCTAAAATGTTACCTGCAGAATCCTAATTTACTATAAAATATTAATATTTGTGCAAATTTGAATATAAAAAGCACAGAAGCTAAGGTCAGCATAGAGATGTAAACGAGTCGGGCCGAGCCGGCTCGCGAGCCTAAAATTTCGGCTCGGGCTCGACCCGGTTAAAATGGCCGAGCTTTTTTGCGGGCTCGAGCATTAGGCTCGGCCCGAGCCTTTGATCGGGCTTTTTACGGGCCGAGCCGGACAAGCTCGTTTTCTCCCCTTTTTTTCCTTTTTTTTTTTTTTAGTCTTCTAATCTGCTGCCCTTTAAAGGCAGCAGTTCGCTGCCTTAAAAAGCAGCAAGCTGCTGCCTTTTAAGGCAACAGTTTTGCTGCCTTTTAAGCCTTCATTTTAATTTTATTTATTATTATTATTTTTTTAAAAAGCTCGCGAGCTCACGGGCCGGCTCGGGCAAAGCCCGTGTCCCCAAAATGGGGCTCAGCCCGAGCCTAGGCTCGGGTCTACCGACCCCCGAGCCGAGCCACGGGCAGCCCGAGCCGGTGAGCCCGATTGCCATCCCTAGATCAGCAACTGTAGATAATAAAATTATAAAAGCCTTTAAAACTAAGGCCAAACTAGAAAGCAATAAAACATAAACGTAATGTGCAGGAGTCTGACTTACAATATTAAACCCCTATTTGATGAGGATCGAAATCAGATTTTTAATATATTTTAATAAAAGTTGATGAAATGTATGGTTAAAAAGTATTGAATCCTATAAAATATATGATAAAAATTAATTATTGACTTTAATTTATATTAAAATCTAGGCCAAACAGAGTTTAAGTTGTACAGGAGAAAGATACTTCCAACTACAACAAAAGTTCACCGACCGTTCATAGCACCTCTCTCAGTTCGGGGGGCCAGCAAATTTTTTATTCGACGCGGGCCCCACACCCTTGTGAGGAGGCTGTCAGCCGAGCTTCAAAGCTCGGCTATACAACCATCAAAATCCAAGTTTACTTGGCTTAGGTATGAGTATGACATTTGAAAAAGTATACTGATAAGTTGATTGAGAGGCATCTACTATAGCGATATCACATCAATCAATTACTATAAAATATCTTGTACGAAAGTTATCTTGGAGGCAAAGTTAAGAAGATGCCTAGTGAAATCAAAGGCTTATTGCTTTGAAAATAAGCTGAAAAATATTGTCCCACTTGTTGAGTTGTGTGCACATGTAGAGTATATTTTGCTATGATAAAATAATTATTTATAATAAATAAATAAATTGTAGTTTTATTTATTTATTATTGAGCATGCGAATTAAAGTGCTTATGATCACTAGAGATAATATAAGTTAGGTATTTGCGTTGAGAAGTATAGTGTGACACAACTTATATTTTGATCATAAATAATTTTTTCACAACCAATGTAGAAGGGTTAGCACCTTGTACTAAAAGATTATAATATTGATTCATTCATTATTCAGGTTTGTGATTTGTCTTTATCACAAAATTAGTAAAAGATGGCACTAGTGAACTTGGAATGTATTGAACGAATCATGTGTCGAGTTTTATTGTATAGCATGACCATGCAGAGAATTAAATTCCACTATATCGCTGCGTATTTCATTTAAATTTCTTGACAGGATTATGTATATTTTTCGTGATTTTAATGGTTCTTTGATTCATTAATGCATAAGATCATTTTGATTGGTTAAATATCTTAATGAGTTAAGAACTTGAGAATGAGCGGAGTAGAGAACATGAATTCGTGTCAGGGAATCGTCACCCTGAAAATGGCTAGAGTAACTACTAAAATATTTTTTGTTGAACAGTTAAAATCTAATTTCAGTGTTTATCGATGGTTAAATTTCGACATCTGTAGATAGTTCATAGGACCGTTGAAGAAAATTATACTTAAGTTTGTGAAAATAATTAGAAGGGTAAAATGATCATTTATGCTCGTACCTAATTATCGGATTTCAAATCGAGATAAATACATATACGACGGGTCAGAGGAAAATATTACAGATTTATTGGCTTTTGTGATATTATATATTCCAAGAATTCAGTTTTTTACTTTTAGTGGAAAAAAAGACGAATGATTAGATTGGATGGTCTAAGGTCGACTAGACATTATCTAATTATTGAAACTTGGATAATATATTTTTTATTAGATCCCCATGGTAGCTCTATAAAGTATTGGAACTTAATTGTGGTAATTATAATAATTTTGGGTTTAATTTTAATTACAATAAAATTCTGTACTTAATTATAATTACTATGAAAGTTGTAAACTTAACCCCCGTTTGGCCCCCATTCTTGCCAAATTTTAATTGTTGAAATAGTGTTTTTTTTAAAATGTGTGGTTGAAAAAGAATGAAAAGTTTTTGATTTGCATGTAATATTATTTTTATAAAAGATTGTGTGGTTAAAAATAACAGAGAAAAAATGAGAAGGATAATGGGGCCAAACGATGGCTTAATTATAGACCCCGTTTGAGCCCCATTCTACTAAAAATTCATTTTTCAAAACTCATTTTTAACCACACATTCTTCAATAAAATAATATTACATGTAAACTCAAAAATTTTTCTTAATTTTTAACCATACATTTTTCATCAATTTATTATTCAAAATATATTTTTTTCCCCAAAAATGGGGATCAAACAAGGGCATAATTGTAATTAAAGTTTCAAGACTACACATGTAATTAAATATAAACTAATTGGATTTGGATTTGGATTTGGATTTCAATTAGAACTCATATTTGAATGTAAAATTATTATTGTATAAGGATTTGGAACTCGTTTATCACTATAAATAAAAATTAGATGGAACCTAAACATCTCATATAATTGCACAAAAAAAAATAAATCATAATTCATAATTCCATGGTATTCAAATTTGGAGACAGAGAAAAGAGAATTATTTTTCTTCTTTTTATTAGCTGTCCAGATCAAGAATTAGTTTCTTGATTTAATTAAAATAAGGTGTCTACCCACATGTATAGTCGACTTTGAAGAATACCATAGAAGACTTAAAGTTTGAAGTATCAAGTTCTTAAAATTAAAAATAAAATAAAATCTGGAAGTTTGTGATTCAGAATTAATTCAAAAATTTATCATTGAATTTAGGTAAATGTTCAAATTCTTTATTCTTGATATAACATACACGTGAATATCTAGACGATTTTGTTTATTAAATTAAATAAATTTTAATTTATGGATAATTTCGCTTCCTCATTCCAACAGCACCTTGCTTCAACCATGAAGAGTCGACCTCTATATGGTGCCTCGGTTGAGTCGATGGCATCACTTCGACTTTCTCTTATTTGATGTCATCAATTAGGCCAAGCAAGTGATGTGGAGTGCGGTTTGAGGTGGCTTGGTTGTTGACTCTCACTTGGTCAATGATTAGATCTTCATAAGATGAAGTATAACAATAGCTCCCCAAATCTATACATAAATATTCATATAAGGCATAAACTTTAGTAGAAAATTTGTGTGTGTGTGTGTGAGAGAGAGAGAGAGAGAGAGAGAGAGAGAGAGAGAATAAATAACAAGGAAGGGCATAAGAACGTCTCTATATATAACATTCTCGCAATTTGGGGTGATACAACGGAAGCCAACTTTGAGTTGTGAAACTAAATAAGTTGGAATGGGGAACTAGCCCATTGAATTGAGAATAGAATTTCCATGTCCTTGTGTATTTGTTGTCATATTGAGCCCTATTTGTTTTTTATTCTTTCCCCATTAAAATGAAAAATATGATTATTATATATTACATCAAACCACTAAATTTAAATTTCTATGTCTTGTGTAGGGTCTACGACAGTTATATTTTTCATTCTTATTTTTACAAAAATGAGAAACAAACGTCCACTAAGTGGTCGTTTGGTATTAAAAATTGGATTAAAATTTAGGTCAAAGTAAAATAATTAATATTAATCATATATTTTATGGGACCTACAATTTTTCAATCACACATTTTAAAAAGTTCTATCAAATTCTACAAAAAATATAGCCCCTATTTGATTCCCTTTAAAACTCTTCAATTTAATTTAAATTTTTCTATCTCCTATTTTCAACCACACAATTATCAATAAAATAATATTACACATAAAATAAAAACTTTTCATTCTTTTAGGACTATTTATTTTTCAAAAAAACATTATTCCCCCATTATAAACCCAAATAATGGGGGCCAAACAAGGTCTTAATTTTACTACGAGCAACACCAACAAGAGAGTATTTCCCACTCTGATACCATATTCGAGGAAGAACGATATGAAATTTATATAATCAGTATGGGATTTTACAATTAACATGCTTGTAAGATGGTAGCTCATTTAAACACATAAATTTTAAAATTTTGGTGCTTGTTTGATTTTAGATGGATCGAATTGTTTATTTGAGTTTTAGACCAATATTTTATTAAAAATCGAAGTTCTATATTAAAGGACAACTTTGTTTACTGCCCTAATTAAATTAAAATTTATTTTTTTCACTTTTCTTATCAATCATTTATTTTTTATTAAAATAATATTACACGTAAATGTAAAAAATTTCATTTCTTTTTAATTACACATTCTTCAAAAATTATTATTATTTCACTATAATTCGAAATAATGAAGTCCAAACAGGGGCTAACATTTTCAGTATTTTATATTTATAATTGAGAAGAACGCTATATAAGGAAATACAAATTGATCTTTCGTGCATTTATGACTTTGGAGAGCATTTATTTTACAATAATGCTATTCGAACAGAATCCTTTGCACAGATGTTGAACAGGTAATAAAAAATTAATAATGGGCACATCAATGAACAGTAGAAATTGTTTGAAAAACGGGACAAATTTGGCAGAGCACTGGTACAACCTTTCCTCCCCCAAATTGGAAGTCAGTATTTTCCCTCGTTCCCCTCTCTCCCGGGCCTTCATTCCCGCCGGCCAATTCTTCGAATCGAGTAGCACCTCCGAACAGCATGTCTTCGCCGACACCGTCGAACCCAGGTGACCTACTGTTAAATGCCATCTTCAAAATTTTCCAATTCAACATATTTAATTTGTTGTTTGCAAAGCATGGAAAATGTTATTGCTTAAAAAAAATTTGAATGACAGTAAAGATGGAGATATTTAACAAAAGCTGCAACATTAAAATAAACGAAAAATTTGTAATGGGGATGATAAACCATGAACTGCCCTGCAAGCGTAAAATGGCATTTCGTCCAATGTTAAAGAAAAGGAAAACTCTGTAATGGGGATGAAAAACATGCCCTGCATTGGTTATTGTTATTACAATAATGCTGTTCGAACAATTTGGATTTCATGATTTTTACTTTAGTTCTCTTTAGCTTATTCAGTCTGTTGATAGCAGTGAGAACCTTAGATCTTTGAAATTTTACCAATAAACTATATTTATTTTACAATTTACTTAGAATGTTCAATCTTTATGCATAATAATGACGATACAATTTTTGCTTCATTTCTGGACGCAGGAAATAATATGGAAGGTGGCATTGATGATTTTTTGTTGGAAACTGAGGATGAGATCATTGCGGAGAACAGGAACATAGTGGAAGATGAAATGTTAGGAGATGATGGTATCGTTGTACCTAAGGTCGGAATGATATTTTTAGCAGTGAAAATGAAATGTTTGAATTGTACAAAGAATATGCATACAGCGTAGGTTTTCCCGTAAAAAAAAGGAATTCAAAAAAAGGGTCCGGTGGAGTTTTGAGATTTGTGACATATACTTGTGGCCGTGAAGGTCGAAGGCCAAGTACTGCTACCGGATCTGTAAGGCCGCAACCAACAATTCAAACCAATTGTAAGGCCCGGATAAGCGCATCTTCAGATGATCATGGATCTTGGAGAATTAATGCAGTCCACCTCGACCACAATCATGGAACAAGCCCATCGAAATCCAGGTTGTTTCGATGCAATAGAGAACTGAGTGCACAGGTTAAGCGGAGGCTTGAAGTGAACGATGTGGTGGGAATTCCGTTGCACAAAAGTTATAATTCCGCAGTTGTTGAGGCGGGCGGATACGAAAATATGACTTGTGTGGAAAAGGATTGTCGGAACTACATCGAACAAGTGAGACGGTTGAGACTCGGAGAAGGAGATGCCGCCGCAATACAAGCATATTTTTCAAATATGCAAGCACATTGCTCGGGGTTTTATTTTAGTATTGATTTGGATGATGAATCGCGGTTGAGGAACATATTTTGGGCAGATAATAGGTGTAGGCATGCATACAAGGAATTCGGCGATATGGTCACGTTTGATACAACGTATCTTACAAATAAGTATGATATGCCTTTTGCTCCTTTCGTTGGCGTCAATCACCATGGACAATCAACACTGCTTGGTTGTGGTTTGCTTTCGAACGAGGATACAAATAGTTTTGTGTGGCTATTTAGGTCATGGCTTCAGTGCATGCACAGTGTAGCTCCCCATGGAATAATCACTGATCAGGATAGAGCCATGCAAAATGCAATTCAAATTGTTTTTCCAAATACAAACCATAGGTGGTGTTTATGGCACATTTTGAAAAAGTTGCCAGAGAAGTTTGGGTACCATATTGATAAGGGTTCTATATTTTCTGATATACATGGATTGGTGTATGATTCCCAGTTCGTTGAAGAGTTTGAAGAAGGTTGGATCGCAATGATTAATAAGTTTGGATTGCATGAAAATGATTGGTTATCTGGACTATACGAGAACAGAAAGCGTTGGGTTCCTTGCCTTCTGAAAATCACTTTTTGGGCAGGGATGTCAACAACGCAAAGAAGTGAGAGTATGAATGCGTTCTTTGACGGATATGTACACTCAAAGACTTCATTGAAACAGTTTGTAGAACAATATGAGCGAGCACTAAGGAATAAGGTTGAAAAGGAATTTCAAGCTGATTTCAAATCATATTCACAAATGCTACCATGCGTAAGTATGTTTGAAATGGAGAAACAATTTCAATCTGTTTATACCATCTCAAAATTCAAGGAGGTTCAGGAGGAGTTTATAGGGAAGATGTATTGTGACCTCATATCTACTTCAGAAAATAGTTTTGGGACAATGTACGAGGTCTGCGAAGTTGTGGCATGCGGCGAGCGAATGAAGAAAAAAACATTTTTTGTGTCATTTCAAAAGGAGAATTGTCAATTCATTTGCAGCTGTCACTTGTTCGAGTTTAGGGGTATAATTTGTAGGCATGCGATATCGGTGTTGATCCGTAATTGCATCACATCAATACCGGAGAGGTACATACTGAGACGATGGAGAAGAGATGTTAGTAGAGCACACGCGAGGGTTGCTGTGAACTATGCTGGGTTGGTTAGTACACCTAGTCAGTTGAGATATGATAGTATGTGTCAGTCTTTTGCTGGGTTGGCAGATCTTGCTGCTGATGATGACGGGCAGACTCGCGCCATAATAGACTGGATAGAATCGCAGTGTACAGTTCTTACGTTGACACGGACGAGTACAAGCACTAATGTCCTCGCACACCATACGGTACAATTAGGCCCCCAGTGTAATGTATCGCAGAATACCTTGAGCGGGAGCGTACGGGACCCTCTCGTGTCAAGAAGAAAGGGTGCACCAAAGAAACTTCGAAGTAAAAGCCCGTTGGAGTCGAGTTTGAAGAAAGTAAAGGTAATTTAAAATATTATAATTCATATTCTACCAGATTGTTGCAACAATTCCTCATACGCTCGCTCTGATATGCAGGCAACATTGACATCGAGCAAAGGAAAGAGACCAAATTCGAGTCAGAGTGCTACTCCAGTTGGTACACAAGAACTTCAGGCGTCCCAACATTAGCATGAAAAATTCAGAAAGAAAATCTTTTGCCTCTTAAGTTTTATCAATTGAGGAAAAATTTTATGCATGTCCATAGTGGACTTTGGTTTTGGCCAGGTAGAATAATATGCAGAATCAAAACTTGCTATTTCGTGCCTGTAGAAATAAGAATTGGTTTGATAAGAAACTTGCGTGATTTTAAGTGAACAAATCTCAAGACCTGTGTTTTGCTTACATTTTGTATAACTGTACATTTGTGTTGAACGTGTTAGTTAATGATCTGAGCAATAGATGCATGGACTGTCCCGCGCATTTTGAAAACGCCTAAATAGAAAGAGGTAGAAACTGAAAGATAAAAAATTCTCAGGATTATATGCATTGCAACCTGCAAGCTGAAATTTTACACCAAACTATCTATAAACATTTCAAAACTTCTCAATGATTTGCCGCCCCGACTAGTGTTTGCCGCTGCGCAACGGGGATCGACCTGCCCAGTCAGGTCGCGAGGGTTGAGGGGGCAGCGTCCCCCGTGGGGGCTCGGGGGCAACGCCCCCGAAAAAGAATTTTATTTTCAAAAGTCTTTGAATAGGTACATCTGTTCATTTTGACATTTACTTCCAACAGATATGTTCTTCATTTCAAGGGACACACCCAATATAGAAGACGAACTTAAAAAAGTATACAATTGATCGTAAATTATATTTTTATTTTTGTTTACAAAACCACATCCTCGAACAACAATAAAACAGAAAAAAAAATGAAAAAAAAGTGTTGTAAGTGTTACTCAAGTGTGTCACGGAGACACTCTCTCCGTGACACACTGTCACAGAGAGTGTGGGGCAGCGTGTCACGGAGACACTTTCTCCGTGACACATTGCTCCGGGGCAGTGTGTCACGGAGAAAGTGTCTCCGTGACACACTGCTATGGCTTGCCAAATTTGTCCCGTTTTTCAAACAATTTCTACTGTTCATTGATGTGTCCATTATTAATTTTTTATTACCTGTTCAACATCTGTGCAAAGGAATCTGTTCGAATAGCATTATTGTTTATTTTAGGGGATTATGAACAATTAGTGCAATTAAAGGATTATTACATCGATAAATGTAAACAGTAACAGGATAATATTAAAGGTATGCGATTTGACTTCTTTTTTTCCTAAGTGCTTGAGTTGATTACAAGCTACATAATTATCCCATTTTCTTTCTTTTTTTCCCCTTTATGTTATTTTCAACTACACAGTCTTTTATAAAATAATATTACACATAAATCGAAAACTTTTCGTTTCTTTTAACCACATATTCTTAAAAAAAATATTATTCCAAACATTAAATTTTTTTTAAAAAAGGGAGCCAAACGAGAGGTTATCTATGTGACTAAAAATTGATTTTGGAGCTCAATTTGTAAACAATTCATAATTGGTGTGGATATTTGGTAAACTTAGGAATGTCAACGAGTCGAGCCAAAACTCTCAATTCGGGTAAAATGTCCGAACTTTTTTTCGTGCCCGAGTTTTGTTCTTCCAAAAAAATTAGGCTCAACTCGAGCCTTTCCGAACCGAGTCGAGCTGGCTCGCTTTTTTTAATTATTCCTGTGTTTGGTTGCCATTTTCATTTTCACTTGTATAAAAAATTGGACCATTACACAGTAAATTTGCAGGGGCATTTAATGTGCACCAGAAATGGAATTATAGTTTTACCCTTTCTTGCATTTACTTCAAAGTTAAGGAGGGGGCATTTCAGAAAATTTCCATCCTATTGAGTAAAAAAAAAGGTTATGCATGTGCCCACAATCATGCTCATTGGGCAAAAATTTTCTGAAATGAGGTAAAAATGGGTACCAAACAACGACTATATAAATAATATATAGGCAGCAACGTGTTGCCTTATTTAAGGCAACAGGCTTGCTGCCTTATTTTAGCAAATAAGGCAAAAAATTGCTGCCTTTTATCTTTTTTTATTATATATAAAGGCTCGCGAGTCAAGCGGGTCGGTTCGGACTTGGCCTAGCAACCCAAATTGAGGCTCGACTTGAACTGAGCTAATTTGGCTCGAGCTTTTTTCGAGTCGAGCCATGAGCAGCCCGAGCCAACGAACCGGATTATCATCCCTAGATAAACTTAAAAAATATTATTAAAAATTTCGTATCATCTGACAGCATACTTCAGATGCAACAAAAGGTGGTTGCTCAAATTCTGATATTAATTTCTTCCTTTATCTATTAATAAATTACCAATTTTAACTTAGTTATTTAAATTAATACCTTTTGTCCTAGGTTTATTGATATTCCAAAATTACCGCATCAAATTTATTTGAATTATATATATATATAAAACAACAACAACAACAATAATAAAGGATATAATTGAAATTGAATTGTCCATGTTAATAATTGCATATAGAAAAAATAATAAATCAATTTTGGTTATCAAAGTTAAAATGCTTATTTTAAAACATATTGTAATTCTGAAACAAATGTTTATGAACCATTAACTTATTCAACACAACAAAAATTAATTCTCTTAAAATCACAATAAAATCAAACTGAGTCTAACAATGTAATTCCTATGATATGAAAAGTACCACAACATAGTCTTGAGATTCCATAACTCATTTTTAGGTTTCATTTAATTCAACAAAACAACTAAATTATTTTTCATTTAACCCCTGTGTGTTTCCAATTATTTGTTCAGAATAATCCAACTTTTGACCCCTTTTTTCCCAGCAGCTGGGACCCACTGGGAGAGAGGAATTGAAAAATTGCGGCTGAACGGTCCAAAAATGAATTGTGGTTGAACAGGAAATTGAAAATAAACAGGGGATTATATATGTCTTGTTAACGAATTTGCCGATATTGTGTTATTTCTTGTTGGACTCGAAGATCTTTTGGTACTCCATGACATCTTAATTTTCTATTCTCCAAAAGTGTATACCAAGTTCTTTATGATCTGGGCACATTACTCAAAGATCCATGAGGTTTTCTTACAATTTCATAAATACTCTCTTAATTTTCAAAACCTATACAAATATCTCTTATTTATGTTTTGAATAACGAATAACTCCTCTGAAGCTTATGACAATTATAGAAACTCGTTCTATTTTTAAATATTACATCAAAAGTTTTGAATAAGGTATACCTCCTTTGGCCACTTTTCTTTTCACGTCAGTATAAATAATAATGGCATCTTTTAAATTACCCTTACAAACTTTCTTCCCCTATAGCTACTTAAGAAATAATTTAATATTTAAAATACCCTTCTAATATTTCTAACTAAATCAACTGCAAACTATTTTTCAGGCCATGAAATCTTATAAGATGCTTTAACATTTAATTGATTTTAATAATTATATTGGAGAAGAGAAGGAGGGATTCTAGTTGCAATTTCATCTTAATCGAGTATTCAAAAATTTGATATTTGCGAGTGAAATGCTTTCTTATTTGAAGGTAATAAATAACACGATAATTATTTCAAAAATATTCGTAATTTGCAAATTTATAATTAGTTTTTTTTTATAAATAGTAAGTTTATTAGTGAATGACAATTATACCCTTACAGACTTAAAATTTATTATCACTACATTCCTGATTCTTTTTTATAAATATAGAGTTTTGGTTCTTAATAAAACACACACAAATCTATTGATTTTTATGATCTCTTTTCTTTTTCTCTCTTTTCATAATGAATACGGTATCTTAATTTTTCAAAATTTAGTTAATGTAGTGATTTTTTGTAAGTATAAATATTTATCACATATACCAAATTTAATTCGATCACAAGTGAATTTTTCTACATACATATGCATTAAAACGAGGTTGCTTCTTCTCAACCTTTTTTGCCTGTTCACAAATCTATAATGATTATTTCATTATATGAAAATGATTACTTTGTCTTATTTGCATGTTCATATATTAAATCAATTCACGTGCATGTTTGGAAGATTTTTTTTACTTAAACATTTTTGGTAAATAAATTTTTAATATAAATTCATATAATATCTATTTGGTAATTAAATATTTTTAGATATTCTTCTATAAACTTTAAATTTAAAATTTATTATGCTATTGCTCCTGAAGTAGTACAATATTATAATTAATATTTCAAAAAATATTGATCATAGATCTATCTATTATAAATAATTTATTGTTGATCCTAAATGCACACAACATTATAATTAATATTTTAGAAGAATATTATATTTATTGCTCTTGGAAAACAGATCTTTATACATATAAATATCTTATAATAATATTAATTTAATAATTTATTAGTGTTTTTGAAGTAACACACTATTATTGACAAATATTCTAATTAGATTGTACTTGTTCCCGAAGAACACGGTTAAAAATTATTTAATGTAAGTTATATTTTTACTCCATTTTTACTCCTGAAGAGTAAATCATTATATAATTTCTTATAATAATATTTTATTGCTCTTAAAGAGTATAAATTATAATTTTCAATATTTCAGAAGAATATTATCATATTGATTTTGAAAAAGTAATATTAACATATAACTTGCTCTCGAAATATCGCATATCTCGAATAATATATCTCATTGTATTCATAAAGAAACACAAATTAAATTATTCAATATTGGGTTGTAATTTTAAAGAAAACTAATTTTCAATATTATCAATATTCGAGAAAAATTTTAATTTATCGCTCTTGAATAACATAGATTAAAATTTTCAATATTCCAGAAGAATATTGACATATTACTCTTAAAGAAGCAATAATTAAAGACAATGTGCTACCAAAATAGAACATTTTCAAATAATATATTATTTTGAGTTCATGTTTATCCCTAAGGAAAATATTTAACTAATATAAGGAGGACATTGTTTAATTTGACTGTTTGAATGACATATGATTATATAAGCTTTAATCGTATTATTCAAAATTAAATCATTGGATTATATCTTATATTGAACCAGAAACTCAATTTGATTGGTATAATCAGTTGGACTATCACTAGATCAACAATGAAGCGAAATCAAAATTCAAATAGACATCCAATGAAGAACTAGAAGATTCTTCAATCAAATAAATTCTTATCTGTTATTTGCTCCCTTTATCGAAAATAGTTCGCTAAACATCACTAGTTAAAATAGGAACTAAATTATTTATACTTCTGAAAATTAATTAGGATGATGAATGGGACTCCATCATCCTCCATGTTGATCATCTAAATATTATTTGTATCTAATAGATTTGATACATATACAAGATGATAGCATGGTGTTCACAACTTGAAGGTTTGCAAAATTACTACTCGAATTTTAAATTATTAGCATAATTTTCAGATTATATAATCAAAATTGTGTCTTGTTACTGCTAGTAAACATAAATCTCAACATTTTAATAAGTATTAGTTGGGATGTCGATAAACGGTGTAAAACTATTGTTTGTTAAATGCCTCCAATTAATTTGATTGAGAACAAAACACTTCCCATTTTTGTTTAGGGAATTATATTACGCATCATTCCAGCATCATAATTCTTCATATCATAATTGGCTTATGGTCAGAGTCTAATTTTTTCATCTAATTATTTTGATAGTACATTATATGTAAAATTGAACCATCGATATGCATTGAGAAGAAAATAAAGAATACCGAGAATAAATACGTAATTTAAACCCATGTGGATGATATTTTATGACGTTGAAAAAATGATTATCAATTTGATTGAACAATTCTTTCAGCATTAGAGAGAATTAAGAAGTTGAAAATAATGTTTAAATGCATGTCATCTGAATCCTCGCAAAATACCATTCGAACTAGAAGTTCTAAAGATAATTTATTTAGATGCATTTACTAATCAAAAAGTTAAACAATATCTCACGCATCAAAAAGTTAAACAATATCTCACGCATCAATTGTAAATGCTCTAATATGAATTCATGTCCTATGAGTACAATTTGTTAGCATTATATTTGGTATATTTTTGCCACGCTTGAAGCCATCATGGTATTTGATTCTAATATAAAAAAATTTCAAACAAAAATGGAGCAATTAATAAAGATAGTCTTATTAAGGAAACATATACTCTCGATGAGTATTTAGATATAACAAATAATAAAACTCCAGAAGAGATTCGGGTATCTAATATGTTGAAATTTGAGATATCTCAATAAATTATATCACTATGGGAAAAAATAGAATTAAAAAGGAAAAAAATTGTTGACAATACTTTTACACATGATGTATTGCATTATATTTTGAAGAGTACATGCATCATATTGATGTCCCCATAAGGCAATCTGCCATATCAAATGAATTTCAAATACACCAGAAGCGTATTTGACTAGTTGGTTCAAAAGATTCCGTACCTCAAAAAAGAAAAGTACAAGATAAAAACCAATCAAAAACTTCGAAAGAAATAATATTAGAAAAGAGTGATCAATCAAATATTGAAAATATGGTTTTTAAAAAACTACAAGTATCCGAAAATAATGAGATTTCAATAAATTATACGTTACCTCATAAATTATGAGAACGAAATTATGTTTTTATAGACTATTTTCTTCTTTAACGTGACTCTTGATATTATGCAAAATGGAGATTTTGAACTACAGTCAGTTAAGGATTGTTAAAATAAAAATGATTGACAAAATGAAAAGAGGTCATACATGCGGAATTAAATTCCTTAGAGAAACGAAAAATGTTTGAACATATAATTCGAACACTTGAAAATGTAATTCATGTAGGATACAAATGAATTTTTGTACAAAAGAGAAATGAAAATAATGAAATTACAAGATACGAAATCCGACTTGTAGCTTAAGATTTCTTAGAAATACCAGAAATTGATTAAGATGAAATATATTCTCCCGTAATGGACACCATCGCTTTTAAATTTTAATTAGTTTGACTGTGTATTTTCATAAAGAAAATAAATATTGGATTTACAATTGGAGAAGTTTATGTTGATGATTTAAATTTAATTATAACTCTTGAAGAGCTCAACAAAAACGGTAGATTATTTGAAAAATGAATTGGAGATGAAAGATTTGGGAAATTTCAAATTCTATCTCAGGTTTGCAGATTGAAAGTTTCCCAAAATGATTGTTTGTTCATCAATCTACATATACATAAAAGATCTTAAAGCCCTTATATATAGATAATGCACATTCATTGGCATCACCTATGGCTGTTCGACACTTGATGTGAAAATGATCCATTTCATCCACTTGAAGATGAAGAAAACGTTCTCGGTTCTAAAGTACAATATTTTGATGCAATTAGAGCATTAACTTATCTTATAAATTGCACTCGACCTGACATAATTTTTTCTGTAAATCTCATTGCAAGATATAGTTTTACACTAATTCAAATACATTGGAATGGTGTTAAACATATTTTTCGTTACCTAAAGGGCACTATTGATTCGAGAATATTTTATTCTCAAAAGTAAGGATCTATTTTAGTGGGATATACAGATACAGGTTATCTCTGAACCACATAAAACTAAATCACAAATAGGATATGTGTTTACACGTGGAGAAACGGTTATATCATGGAGATCAGTGAAACAATCATTGATAGCGACATCCTTAAATCATTTTGAAATTATTGCAGTTCATGAAGCAGACTGAGAATGTGTATGGTTGAGGAACATGATCCATTATATCAAAGTATCATGCGAGTTAATTTTAACAAAAAATAATCCGGCAATTTTGTATGAAGAAAATGCAACTTGTATTGCACAACTCATAAAATGCTATATCAAAGATTATATAGGACGAAACATATTTCTCCAAAATTCTTTCATATACATGAGTTTCAAAAGAATGTCAATTTCGATGTCCAACAAACTCTCTCAAGTGACAATATGACCGATTTATTCACAAAAGCACTGCTAACACTTACATTCAAGAAATTGGTTCACAAGATTGAAATGCGTTGACTCAAAGATAATCAATATCAAGGGAAGTAGCTGTACTCTTTTTTTTCGCATACGTTTTATCCCACTAAATTTTCCTAACAAAGTTTTAATGAGACAATATTTATTTTTAGTACTCCAAAATAACTGTACTCTTTTCTTTCGTTTGAATTTTTCACATTGAATTTTTATCAAACAAAGTTTTAACGAAGCCGATATCTTGTAATGTCTCATTCAAGGGGAAATATTGTAAATGGTAAGTTTATTGATGAATGACAATTTTAATCCTGTAGTCTTAGAAATTATTACTGTTGTATCAATAATTCTTCAATATAAATATAGGATTTTGGTTCTTAATAAAACACACCAAATCTATTGATTTTTATTCTCTCCTCTTTTTCTCTTCATAAAATTTTTATCTTTCTTGCACTAATAGATAATTGGTAATAAAAAAAAAAGGGGGGATAAAGTTCTTGAATGATTTATCAAGTCGAGTGTAAACTAACATTAAATGTGCCTTACTTCACAAGTATTTTTGTAGGTTGGTTGGTCTATAATCAAGTTAAATATCTATTATTTTGTTTATATTATGATGACGACTATTTTGATTTTGTTAATTACTTTGTAATATGTAAATATATTTTGATTATCTCAAATCTATTGATGTATTTTTGAAAAATCAAGAGTCTAATTAATAATTTGTTGTTGATTTATTTAAACGTGTTAATAAGGTATTTTAAGTATTCTATTATTATTGTCAAACGAGTCACAAGATGGAAGAAAATTTGTTAAAATATTCTAACAGTTATTAATATTATTTATGCTAAAATGTGAAAGAAAAGTGGTCAATAGAAGTTTGATTTATTCAAAAATTAAAATTGGGGAAGTTTGTGTAATTTTCAGAAAATGAATGGGGTGTTTCTGAAATTATCATAAATCTGAGAGGAAGGACTATAGAATTTTTTTGACAAGATAGAAGGGGGAAAAAATGTGTCTCTGGAATTCTCATAAATAGTAGAGAATTATTCAAAATTTAAAATAAGGAAAATTTGTTTAATTTTTCAAAAAATGAGGAACGTCTCTAACATAGGAACGTCTCTAACATTGTTATAAACGTAAATAGAGGACTCGATAATTTGCTCGTAAGATTTTATTTACTGTACGTCAATTCAGTTTTTTTACTCTCGTAGGCTATGATAGACCATTAGTTGACACGATAGTTGATAAATGGTTAGTTATTCAATACCACGTCTGATTTAGGTTCATTTTCAATAATAGATTTTGTAAAAATGATTTTTTTTTAACACCAATATTGTTATAACATCACCATAGGTAGCATTAAATGAGACTAGTACTTAAATGAATAACATAATTCCACATTTAGTCAAACTTATTACATAATACTACCTAAACTAGTGTTATAGCATAACACCACTAGTACTAGATATTAATTATAATCAAATTCAATTGAAAAACTCAAAAAGGAAGTTCAATAAAGAAAAAGAAAAAAATTCTTTTGCTCCTGATAGAGCTCGAATATTAATGAACTCTGTATAAGAGTTATCTATCGGAACAATACTTCTACCAATCTATTAACAAGAAGTAAATATACGCCAAAAAATTAGTAATGAGCTATACTGGGTAATATCTGCCCCATTTTTGATAAATAACTAATCATTACAATAAATTATTGAATGAAATTAACTGTACTATCTTTTGCTCATTGCCATTCAAGAGAGGAATGAGCATGATCCATTACCTGAGAAAGACAAAAAAATGTAGAATTAGAAACAATTAAGATCTGCCAGTTAATTTTGTATAGAGTAAATTTAGGACATGTTAAGTATTTACTGCATCAAATAAAATTTTTTAACATGCAATCCAATGTTATTCACAAAATCTAGCATTCCATGTTCAATTATTATTTATCTTTTGAAAAATACTACTACTCGACACTTTAAAATTAAAATGAGTAATTTTAATTATAAGTAGCAATGTTCGTCTTTTGAAAAATACTACTACTTGACACTTTTAAATTAAAAAGAGTAATACTATCAATAAATAACGATTTTTAAGTTAAACAGTAATAATATGTCATACACATCGTCAATATACAGATTTAGGTCCCATTTGTTTTTCATTAATGTGAGAATGAAAATGAAAAATATAGTCGTTACGAACCCTACACAAGAGATAAAAATTTAAATCTAGTGGCTTGATGTGATAGATAACGGTCATACTAGATAATGGGAAACAAACAGAGGATTAAATTGTTTTACTTACTTGGGTCAGAAGAGGTGATGGCACCGGTGCCCGAAAAGTCGCAATCGAAATTATTTCGACCCTTGCTTTGGTACCAAGAATTCATGGCGTAAGACGCGTGAGCCCGTACTGTGTTAGGGTTGAAACAAGCACCATTTGCTTGAATCGGCCCGCAATCCATACCACTTTGGCTGCATACATAGTCGATATTAGATTGCAGTTGTGCGTCGGTGGCTTCTGCCTTCGGCACGCACCATTTTTTGTTGCCCTGCGTTGGTGGCTTTGGGACGGGCGACGGAGGTGTTGGAACTGATGGTGTGGGCGTTGGGACAGGCTGCATCATCAGAATTTAATTACGTTAAATAACAAAAATATTCACATAATTGACGTCAAGTTTATTTAGTTGCACGTGTAACTCATCTCGACTTGGATGGAATTTTGAAAAATAAAAAGAAAAGAAAAGATAAATGCCAAAATAAAGTATATATGAATTATATAAGAATAAAGTATAATGGACAAGTGGAAAAAGATTCAAGGATTGTTTGAGCTACATTATTATCAAAAATTGCATTTTTGAATAGTGTGTTGATAGGAAATGTGTAGTTATAAAATAAGAAAAGTTTTGAATTTGTGTGTAAAATTATTTTATTGAAAATTTTATGATTAAAATATGGTTAAAATACTATATAAGAATGCATCTTTTTCTTTTTTCTTTTTTTAAAGAAAAGAAATAGGGTTCAAACAAGGGCTCGGAATAAAAGAGACAAGAAATTATTGGTAACCACCCCCATTTCAAATTTCAATTAATAATGCTCAGATATTATGTGCAAACAAATAAAATTTACATTAAGCTAGTGTCACAAAAAGGCTTGGTTCAAGGCGAAGGAGCGAAGTCTTATCGAGTAATTGACCTAAATTCGAGTTTGGGGGTTAAAAAAATATTGAAATAGAGTTGATAAATTTATACAATAATTATAATACCTATCGAGAAAATTAATAATCATCAAAGAACAAAATTATTCATTTTTGATACCTAATAATGGAGTACATGGAACAAGATTTCGGTTATCAATGCTTCTTTTATTCATATAACTTAAGCCAATTTATACGTCTATCATCAAGAAAAGAGAATAAGCGCAGAAACTTATAATTCATATGATAAGAACTATAGATTTGTAAAGTTTAATGATGTCTGAAGTTACCTGATCAGGCACACCTGCGGTTCCTCGCATGATTCCGACATCATAAACAGGCGTAAAATCTGGCTGGAACAAACCGAAATTCCTCTCAGCCAAAGAACCAGGCTTCAAATTCTCATTAAAAAGTGCAAAAATATAGGTTTCGAACTTCCTTCCGGGCAACAATGGCGTCCCAGCTCCTTGATTATACTTCTTCACCAAACCCCCATTGTAAGAAGCTGCATTTGGAATAGTACATTTTGGCTCAAAAGTCTCCCCTGCAGAAGCCCAACCAGTCTCCCCTACAGCAATATCCACATCGCCATAGCCCAATTTCTTCATGGAAGTGTAAACTGAATCGATTAACTGATCGAACATGTTCGTGTATAATTTTTTTGTGAATTTATCGGTGACACCTGGGTTTGGTTTGAAGAGTGCAAAATCTGCTTTTTCTGGGCTGTATCCGAAATACGGATATGGATTCACCATGAACGGAGATTTTGTTTGCCGTAAAAATTGCAGGATGGGAGCAAGATCTCCCTTGTCCCAACCCGGTCGAAACTTGGCCAAACTCGGCGGGTCGGAAGATTCAAGAATACTCAAAGCATGAGCCGTTGTGACATTAACACCTTCAATCCCAGATCGGATGAGTGCATTGTGAAGACTTCTCATGGCTCCAACTAGATTATCAATCAGATTTTGAGGTCCCCAGTGGAGTACTTCATTTCCGACAAGAACGTAGTTGATTTTAGTTTGTGGGTAGAATGGTTTAATGTTGTCACCCACCCACCTGCGAGCATACTTCTTGTTGACGAGGTTAGGGATTTCTCCGTTCGGAACAGTGACGGCGACGAAAATTCCGGTGCCTGCAAATGCCAGGAGAATATCTGGGTTCACGTCGAATAGCTTGACTCTGTCGATGGTGGTTTTCTCCTTGAGAAACTGTGCAACTTGAGCTGGCGGCGGGAGGTTGTTTCCAAGGGTGCCATAATTAACTCCGACGGAATTCACGGCGGCGAAATGTTGAACAATAAAAGTAGATAAAAACAAAAGAAAAGAGATTAAAGAGTGACGTTTTGGAAACTCCATAGTTGTTTAATTATCACAGCAAGTTTGATAAACGAAATGTGTGTTCTGGTTTGATTTATATGCGGGGAAGAGATAGAAAAGTACTTAATTTTTGGCAGAAGAAAGGACGAGAGAGTTTTTCTACGGTGAGAAGCTGAGAATAGTTATTGGCAGTAAATTCGGTGGTTCAAAGAGGAAGATGGGTGTTTGGATTAAATGGATAAATCGCGATTTCAACACGAAACAGCTTTTCTAAAAGAAGAAAGTGCTGAGAGAGAGAGAGAGAGAGAGAGATTGGTGGCGTCAAGAATGTCAGCAAAAAAAAGTCAAACGAATCCATATAAATTGTTAATACTAAAATTTTAAACATATTTTACGTAAGTTATTTTTTTTCTTATTTTTACCTCAATAAATTACTTACTTAAAAGGTCAATCTAATTGTAATTTTAATTATTTTTTATTATGACAAGTACTAGATTTTTCCCCCCTTCCATAATGGTACAGAATTAATTGAAGTAGTCGGCCAGATACATAAAATTATTTAAATCGTAAGAACTCAGGCAAACAGGAATATTCCATTGAAAAAAAAAAAGAAAAAAGATTAAACTTAAAATTTTTTATAGATTAATTTTATCTAGCTCTAATTTAGGTGGTGAGAAATACATCTTCAATTGTCAAATAAAGTTAAGATGCATATGAATGTATTGAACAATGAATTAAAACAAAATAAAATTATCACCTAAATAATTACTTAATATTATTCTTTTGGTTCATTGAATTATTAACAATGAACTTATGGCCCATTTGATTGCAAAAATGGAATTTGGGTGGAAATAAAAAGAATTTCAGGGAATTGAATTGCCTAAAATTGTTTAACTGGGAATTGTCAATTATTATATTTGATTTGTATAATTTTTCACCTGAAAAATGTTGAAATAAAAGTGTCTTTTCATATTCGTTTGACTTTGTTTTTCATGAAAATTGTTAATTTAAAGGATATCATCTTTTACAATTATTTCTAGAATTTATTTTCATTGCAAAAAATAATAATAATAATAATAAATAAATAAATTCCAAGCAAACCAGAAAATCCAAAAATGATCTATCTTTTGGTGTTTGTTTGGTGTTGTTTTACATGAAAATTGTTAATTTAAGGGATATCATCTTTTCCAATTGTACCTAAAATTTGTTTCAATCGCAAAAAATAAAATTTTAAAAAAAAAAAACATGGAAAACCAAATTGAAAAACCATGAAAACCAAGAAAATATTGACGTGACTGCCAAAGTGGAAAAATCAATTCCCTAGAAAATAAAGGGGTTGATGGGATCTCTCAACAAAAGGGTGTTTTAATAGCATAAAAAAATACTTATTTTTTAAATTTAAAAATTAACCGAAGATCAATGAATAATGAAGATGATAAACAAACAAACAGAAAAACAGGATATAGAAAAAATCAATGTTTTAAAAATCGACCCAGGCATCAATCCGAAAAGGGAAGATTGTTGAAGTTTAAAGGGTCAAACTGGTATCAAACCGAATAACAAATTAAATAAATAAATACACAAATAAACTATAAAATATCATAATCATAATAGATTTTTAAATTTTAGTTTTCTCATTCAAAGTAAATATAATCCATGTTTGTTAATTAGGTTTATTATAGTAATTTATTTTTTAATCTCAAAAACTAATAATTATTATGTCCAAAATAATTTGCTTTGTTTAAATTAAAAATTATAATCTTGTTGGGATTATGAATTGTTAATGAAAATGATGAAGTAAACTAATAAACACTTGGAATTGACAATTGGCTAGTATCGCACATTGGAAGATACCACAACGTTGGAACAAGAGTCTCCTTTAAAAATGAACTAGTATCTTACATTGGAAAATTTCTAAAACATTGAAAGAATGGTCTTCTTCAAAAAGGAGGTAAAGGAGAATCCCTTATATAAAAAAATTGCTTGGACCTTAAATCGCAATGGGTGGCCTATTAAAATAGTTAAAAGCTTTTGTGGAGAAAAAATTAAATCACCTAATAAAAATAGTGGCCGATTTTTCGGTTCACAATTAAATCGGCTAGGTTGATGGTTTATTAGCCGATTCTTTATCTTTTGGTTAATATATGAGTATCGGACCTAATTAAAGGCCGATTCATGATTTTTCCAGTTGAACCGATCAGTCCGGTTCCAATTTTTATAACATTGCAAAAAATAGTCTTATGTGACAAGAAGTTGTTGGGTTGTTTTTTTTTTTTTTTTTTTTTTAAATTTTTTTTTTTTTAAAATTTTTTGGGGTTTTGGAATATTTGAAGTAAAATCAACACCTGAGAGAGAAGATTTACATTGTAAAAAAAAGTTTTATGTGAAAAAAAGTTTTTGGGTTTTTTTTTTTTTTTTTTTTTTTTTTCAAACTCTCCAATCATACATCAACACGTATACATCTTGTTTTTAACCTTATTTTCACCCTGTTTCCGTACCATTGCTCGTGAATAATTATCAATGAGATTTGTTTGGAAGATGAGCCCAAGAAAAGTACAAGACGGCCTATTTGATTAAGAAAAAGCATATTGAATAGCCTTTTATATTTCGAAATTTTATTCATATATACAAATATCATACACTTATTTTTGAATTATTTTTATCCATTTATAATTTAAAACACTTATAATTACCTGTCAAACATACTTAAGGAGTATATTCAATCTAGACTTTAAAGTCTTTTAAAACTCGGGACTTCTACTTTTTCTTTTATTTTTTAGTAGAAGGACATTTTGAGAAATTTATCCAAATTAATGTATGAAAATAATTTCTAAAAGAGTTTCTTCATTCAAAAGAGCTTTTAGAAAAAATCAAAATTCGATCAAGTTCCTCTAGAAGCCTTCTAATTAGGAGAATAACTTTTTTAAAATTAATCAATCGAGTGGAAAAGTGATTTTTAAATCTCAAGAGTCATGTCAAATTAGTTCTTAGATATTTAAAAGTTTAGCTCCTATTTGATAGTCATTATTTTAAAAAATAGAGTTTTAAATAGTGACTTTTAAGAATATGTATGGCTAAAAAGTAATGAAAAGTTTTTTGTTTACATACCGAGCATTTTATTATATGAATTTGTGATTAAAAATTAGTAAATAGAATAAATATTTTGAAAATAATGATTGTCAAATGAGGTGTACATAACCTAGACTTTTTAAAAACTTAGCCCCCGTTTGGCCCCGATTTTGTGAAAATGAAAATTGGTGGAATAATATTTTTTTTTTTTTTTGAAAAATGAGTGCTTGAAAAGGAAGGAAAAGTTTTTTATTTATGTGTAATATTATTTTATGGAAGATTGTGTGGTTGAAAATAGGAGAGATGAAAATAAAATGTAATGGAATGAAAATTAATGAAGGCGAAACAAGGACTGACAAAGATAAATTCTTTAAAAGTAAATTAATTTTTTATATATTACTTGCTTTTTAATTTAAAAAGTTTATATATATGGGAACATATTGATAATATTGAAAGTTAGATATTTTTTTAATCAGAGAGTATAAATATTTTATTTATTATTATTTTTTATTTTTGTTGATAATTTTTCTAATTAAGATAACTTATATTTTCTATATTCTATTAAAAAAAAAATTATTAACATGAGAATGTAATTTTGTTAATGTAGTGGGTCATTTAGCCATGGAAGTATCTGTTCGAAGGATGTACAATAACTTATATACAAGATTTTTTTATTTTAATAATTGAAGAGAGTTATCTCCAGTCACCAACATTGGCATAAAAAAAGTAGGAATGGCCGTTAAAGTTAATCGGAAGGGGAAGATTTCGAGTCCCGCTCGGATCAGTGCGGGCGCAAAATCAAAGCTACGCCATAGGCGTCTAAAGGGGGAGTGTAGTGAAGGAAGAAGGTGACTAAGACGTGTGGCCTATTTCAATAGCGGATAGACGGGGCGGCTATTGTCATAAAAAGTTTGTAAAGTCAATAAAGTCTTTAATACTTTATAAATAAAAATTTATAGAAGTCTATGAAGACTTTAATTGATTACGTAAAAAGTTAATAAAAATTCATTAAAATTCTACTAAGTCATTTACCTAAAAAAGTATTCAAAATTTAAAATTGAATCCATCTCTTAGATCTTGTTTGGCATTGTTATACTTTTAGAAAAAAAAAATAGAAAAGAATTGGGTGCGTAAAAATCAGTTAAGTGTTTTAATAAAATTTAATTTTAAAATTATATGTTTCTAAATCAGCATTTTAAAATTTGGTAAACAAAAGTGAATTATCATTGCACCTTAAAATGACATCAAACACGGTAAACAGCTACTCGTCTTAAATCTAATCTTCCAAGTCTTATACACATCGATTTCAATGCTATTATTTTTTTTTTTTTTCTCTGAGTTTATCCAATTTATAGCTTTAGAAGGCCGAGGTTCAAACGAGGAAAGGCTTACGGTGGATGCCTAACCCAACAAAAAGCTAAAAACGAAGGGTTCGAATGGACAAAGATTTCCCATTCCTTAGCCAGAAAGATATGTGGCCACGACATCCCACTTGATTCTTCCAACAAGAGCAATTCAGCAGATAAATATTAACCCATATTCAGTATTATTGGAGATTGAATAAATGAAACAATTAGATAAAAGGAAATCAAAATCATCTCTCTCAAGCTTGACAATACAAATTAACCAGAACAACTCCACTCAGAATAGAAATGGCGCCAAGGAAACCTTTTGATCAAGTAAACACGCTAATACAGTATCTGTCACTAACGTAGCACACGCTAAACAAAAATGGGAGCAAAATTTTATGCCAATCGATGGCAAGAACTTATTTTCACCAAGAAAAAAATGATCCATTCTACTCTCTCTATAGACAAATAAGCCGTGGTTGATCAAGTACGATCCTCTTAAGACAGCAAAATGATAAGAAATAGCATAGTATGGAAGCTTTGAAACCTGACATTCTTGCCTTGTTCGGGTACATTAACAAATGAGGTGGGAGTTTAAAAGCATCCCGACCACAATCTGGCATGTTATTCGTTACTGGTATCGGATTTATGAATTTACCTTTCCTCTATCAACAAGAAAGATTTTATTTTTTATTTTGTCGGCTTATAAAGACTTATAATCAATGGTTACTTTCATGGCACGGATAAATATTCGCTATACCTTAAAGGGTTCTTTCAATACCTTTGCCTCCCAAGTTTACGCTTCCAATTATCACTGTTTACAGGCTTGAACATGCGTTCCGATTCAATCTCAGATTTAAGTGAAGACTGCAGTCTCTTTAGGTGTCCGATGCATTTCTTGTGTTCAACTAAAGTGGCGCTATTGTTATTCTGCACGTCAGGACCAAACTTCCTCTCATAAGGAGACTGCCATTTTGCTTGCAAATAAGCCAAAGATCTCCAGGGAGGTAGAGGCATTGAATTCTGCTTCAAAGAAGATCTAGCAGCCTCGACCATTACCTGAAGGTATTGTTTAAGCTTGGTAAAAGAGCCCACATAAATGACCGGAAGAGAGTTCAATATACTATCATAGGATTCAACAGCTCTAGCAATCTCGAAGTGGCTCCGAAAATCTATGTCAATAATCAATCGGCATCCAGAATCATTAAAGCCAACAATATCAATGTATTCATGATCACCTGCATATGAAGTTAGAAAATATTGAATCAGAATTTTAACAAAAGTCCATACTCCGCTAAACTCGTTAGGCAAATCTGCTTGTTATGACAGGTTACTCATCTTCTTGTAGTCGCACTCAAGTACACTAAGTTGACAGAAAGGATTATTTACCTCCAGGAACCTTGCCGCTCCCTTGCCACCTGGATGTACACACACCAGCATCATAACCAGAAAGCCTCAGAAGCTTCACCAGAGAAAACCTGATGCAGCTAGCATTGGAAAAACCTGATTTCACATTGTGAAGATCTCTCTCAGTGATTGAAAGTGCAAGCGAGTTCACCACCGACAATATGTCATGCTGATGATGATCCACCACTAACTTGTGATACTGAATGATCACATCAAACTAGTCAGAGTGAGAATAAACAAATTATTTGACGATAATGCTTGTTTGGCATGTGTTTAAACTATAAGCATTTTAGGTCAAATCTAATTTTTGTTCACACATTTTGTGGGAACAACAAGAGCTAACCCATTTATTCACTACTCATTTCTATCTATTCATAATTTAAATACCGATTATGAAAACCTACCATAATTTATTTACAGTAGAAGAAAAAGTTGTACAGAGTTGTACAACAAAATGACAATGCACAGACATGGATACCAACTCGAGACACATTTACAACACAACACCTACTAGCCAACTTATTGACCATAATGTGCACTTATTCTTTATCGCATTGATTATATAAAAAATAAATCTTCTCTATGGAGTATGTGACGTTTACAGGCATTCAAAACAAATCTTCCCATGAATGCATATAAGCTCAAAGGAGTGTGTTTACAGAAATATGTAATTTATGTACCATAAATATGCATTAAACTATCCCGACAACAAGGACAGTTAAGGCAATTATTGAAAAAGAAAGTATTCTTTAAGTTGAGACCTCCATTGTCCGAGGATCTGCCATACTTCCACAGAAATAAAACCACAATTTGAAGCTTTAGCTTTCCTCAGCCAGAGGGCAAGTCTCAACTATTCATTTTCCCTATCATTGCATTGCAAGCTTATGCTCAATAGGATAAAATTAAGTAAATCCTTTTCAACTTTTGAGGGTGAATATGGCTGCTTCTTTCCAAATTAATGCCAAAATAAAACATTACAAAAAAAAAAAAAACCCCATATAGACCAAGGAAATGATAAGATAATAATGATACAAAACAGAATACACAATTTCAAATTCATATCAAGAGATTAACAAATTACAGAAAAGAAAAGAGAGAAATAGACTTAACAGAGATTTTCTCAGCAAGCTGCGCAAGATCGGAGAGGGTAGAATCGCTATCGCTGCTACTTGAATACTGGGCCCCACCACTATGTTCATTCTCCAAGAAATCGCTCACCATTGTTGCCAAATCAAGCTCGCTCTCCTGGCTGAAAGCACCTCCTCCGCCACTGCTGCCCGCCGCCAGGTTGGCCCACGGGTCACCCATCGGAGCTATAACTCTACAGTCCATCCCAACGTCAACAGTCCAACACCGACAAAAAATCTCGTATATAAAAACTCACTAATTCTAGAATTTTTTCATTTCGAAAGAAATTTTATTTAAAAATTTTAAATTTTCCAAAAGAAAAAAGAAAAAAGAAAAACCAAAACCCTATGGATAAAGTTTATTTAAATTTCTGCTATAACAATTCGTTTTCGAAATTTTCCATTTTTGGTCCAGATAAAAATCTATCAGGAAAAAAAAAAGGGGGAGAGAGGAAGACAGAATTGTAGAATTCTGCGTTAATCAAATTTCACAATTTCAGAGTTTTATTAATCTATGGAACAAATAAATTCTTTGATTAGAATTAAAAAAAAAAAAAAATTCTTTCAGCCGAACAAGCTGTCAAACGACATGAATTGTGTTCCTGAATTATGCTTTTTCAATACACAAACAATTAATGATAAAAATCGAAACATACTACACTTAACCAAGAAAAGGAATCTCCAAACAAGAAAACAGAAAACAAAATTGAACAAAAATGAGAATTGAAGGGTTTTTTTTATGGGAATTATGAGGACAACATAGGGATTTTTTATGATCCAAAGGGATGAAATGAAAGGGAAAGATAATCTGTCCTGTGCCAGCCAACCCAAGGGATGAAGAAGAAGAAACTTGTCTACGGATATTTATATAGGTGGTCTCGCATCACATTTTTCTCATAAATACACTATATTTTAATTACAATAAAGATCATTTACCTTTATTCAATGTTACAATTATATCCTTAACTTTTTTTACTACATTTTTATTTTTAGTATTTTATTGATCAAAAATATTATCCTTAATGACTAATTTTGTCAAAAAATTATTCTTAACATACTTTAAAATAGGTTCGAATATTTAATCGTATTTTTACATTATTGTTTATTTTTTATTAAAAATACAATGGATAAATTATTATTTTTACTTTATTTAATACAAATTTTGGAGGAAAATCATAATCAAGAAAAATTATGTCAATTGGGGAATATCAATGAGACGAAAAAATAGTTGAGACATAATGTTATAATTTGTAAAGATAAGAACCTTTCATGCAATTAAAAGTAGTTTATTTATATTAATTTCTGTGGGCGTAAAATGACGAGAAAGGGCTTGTGGGTGTTTCGTGATGACCAAGTAAACATGTCGCCTATCATGGGAAATCCGTGGGAAATGGATAAGGTGAAAATTAGGTGACATGAATGTGGACGGTATAAAGGGGATATTCGTTTTTTGTTCGTTGGATTCATTTATTAGTGGGCCTATTGTAACGTTTTTCAATTTTGGTATAAAATTTGGAAAAATGCTTTTTGTATATCACCATTTACATAATTTTTTACACAGTGTAAAAAAAAATTCGAATTCCTTTTTATTTGGTTGATAAAATTTTGAAACAATCAAATCTCGTCACATCGTTTGTTGTAAACAAATATGTAAATTGTAATTTACATGTAACACAATCGTAATATTTGTAATTAATTTTGTATTGCATCCATCCCCTCCATCGTCATCTCGAACATAGTTGGAAGAAAAGTTTAGTCATGTTGAGATGAGAATGTGAGACTAGCCACCATTTGTATGTCTACTAAGTATTAGTAATTTTTTTTTTTTTTTTTTTTTTTTTTTTTTTTTTTTTTTTTTTTTTTTTTTTTTTTTTTTTTTTTTTTTTTTTTTTTTTTTTTTTTTTTTTTTTTTTTTTTTTTTTTTACTTTCAAGAATCCATGGTACGTGGATTGATACTAATTGTTCGTTGATTTTCTTCCACTTTCTAACGGTCAATTCTTATGGGCTTGTTCTATATATCTGACTTTTCACATTCTTCTTGTCTCTTTTCACTATAATAGGTTCCATGATGATACGTGAAGTATGAAGAGTTATTAAAATTAATTCTTAAAGTGAGTGTGAATTTTTGTGTTTTTTGATTCTTGAATAGTTTTATGATTATTCATTTTCATGTAATGCTATTCTTGTAAAATTATTCTTAAACTGAATGGTTCTATTCTAGTGACTCTATTTGTATCTATAGGCGTATAAATACTTTGACTTAACTTTTCAAATTCTCAGTAGCTTGACAAATTTTTATAATTTCACATTTCCATTCACACTTCTGTCAAAGATATTAACAGCACCAAGTATATGAAGCTTGTATCAAACCAAGAAAAACCCAATTACTCTACTTCTTGTATTTTAACTTGGATAAAGATGTTTGTACCGAGGGGGCTGAACCGAACCGTTTACACCCCCCTAACAAACATGCGGGCCCCATGTGTAATTTAATAATCCGAACCGAGGTCCCACCCAAATAATGTGAGTAGTAGATAAACGGTTAGGAAAATGATTATGTACATGTAGCACGGCTCTTTTAACTTTTTCTTTACATTTTTTTGAATTCTCCTAGCTTTTTGAAGGTATCCACTTTGAAATGAATGATAACAAGCAGAAATAATAGAGCCCTCTCAAATCGAGAGTGACGGTGATTATATGTTTAATATTGTTAGATATTTTTCATCATTTTGCATGTATTTAATTGTTCGTTTTGACAATTACTTCCAACAGATGTGTTCTTCAATTCAAGGGACACACCTGTTCAAACGGTTGCCTCAATTTCTATAAATTTTGCGCGAATTCTTGTTTGCAAAACACATTAAAAAATTATTCTTCTCTCTTTCTCTTGGCATCTTCAATTTTTTTCGAGTGTCTTCTTGATTTGATCAAATAGTCACAATTTGAATCAAATGCCTCCATTGTATCCTAAGAGAGATTTTCTATCATACCCCAATTGTGACTTCGTTGGATAGGAGAGAAACATCTCTTAAAAGATAACGTTTTTCGTGCCTTGGAGTTCATTAAACTTTCAGATTTCCCTACATTTTTCTCAACAAATATTTCATGGAATCTCATCTTAGAAATTTTGGTATGTAGAATTAATTGCTGAATTGTGAGACGGTTGATGTATTTTGAAATTATATTAGGGATGGATTTAGAGTGGGATGAATAGAAAAATTATGTGGATTTATGGTGTTTAAATGAATGAATTTAACAAGAACAGTATTGGAATGTAACGTGAATGAAAATAGTGGTTTTTTGAAATTTTAATATTTTAATAAAAATACATATAGAGTGTGATGGATATGCAACAATCGTGAATATAAATAACGGCTCTCCAATGCTTTAGCCCAACTTGTCCTCTTCCTATGCCCCTGCACGATTGTACAGTTTTAGAATGGTCATGCAATTTAAAAATCAAGAATAGCTAGCTACGAAAAATTATTCACGTTACAATTTTCATTAATTGCACCACATAATAAATGTAACAAAGCTCTTCAATTTTTGCTTATTTTTTAATTTGTCCCCAACCTTTTTCTTCATACTATTATATTTAACATTGAATTAATTAGTAAATTTTGTCTTTGATGTCGATTTATGTTCATAAGAAAGACGTAATGTCGAATTTTTGTATTTATTGTTTATTTTGCTGATTTGAAAATATGAGGAGCAAATAAGTTTTTCCTTTTGTTTTACTCCTCCTAATTGATCTTTTTTCTCGTTATCATAGACAAAATGTGCTAATTGATAAAGGATTATAGATAAAAATACTATAAAATAAAGTTGACAATGTAGATACAAACATGATAAAAAGTAACATATTTCTTTTTCTTTTCTTTTTTCTTTTTTTTTTTTTTTGGATAAAAAAGGATTGGGAATGGGTTTGCTACGTACTTTGTTCAAATGTTTGGGATGAATAATGCAACCTATATTATTATTACTGAATATTGTGCATAACTATCAAAAATAAAAGATTTATAAATCAATGAGGAAAAAAAAATTTCATCTGTAGAATTTATTTTCGAAAATGCTTTGTGACATTTATTTGTTTGATAAGATAAAATTTTCCATAGAAGAGTAAATTCCAAAGACACTCTCAAGCTAACATTATGTTGTTCATTTCTATTTTAATATAATTTTTTTAAAATTACGAAGATTATTTTCGCTAAAAAAATAAATATAATTTTTTTATTTTACTGTTTTATCTTTAAGCTTGATTCTTATTTTTGTAATTTAAATAATAGATTTATTTTTACTATTCTTATAGCCCCTGTTTGGTTTCAATAAAAAGGTGAATTAAAATTCAATTCGAGTCAATATTTATTTTAATAACACGTTTCATCAACTTTTATAAAAAAATTAATAAAAATCTAATTTTTATCCGAACCAATCTAGGCATAATTATTGTGTTAAACAAAAATAATTTCGTAAACAGATTAGATATCAATTTATTTAGAAGTATTCTACTAAATATCAACATATGACGTGAGTAAAACATTAAGAATTATTTAAATATACATCATCCATAGTTAAAAGAGTACACATCAAGATTATCTTGGATGTACACTTCCACATTAAATTAAAATAAGGTGCAAGTTTGTGAGATTATATGCATTCGAGATAAAATGTGAAAATTGAGTTAATCTATAATTTATAGTCAACGAGACAACAACTATATAAATTAGAATAATTCTATGTGTACAGAACTGTTCCTACAGAAAAGAAACACAGAAAATTCATATCGTGCGGGCCCCATGTGAGTTTTATATTGAAAAAATAAATCGCTCACCTCGTGTATGTATATTTTATATCTTTTCTGTATTTCCCTTTTCTGTATTGAAGAAGGGTTCTATAAATTAATGAGAAATTTAGATAGACAAGTCTGACTCAAATATTGAAAAATAGGCATTACATTTGCATATAACTAGGGTATAATATTTGAAATTGTGATAAATTATTTATGTTATAATTATTTTTCTCAATCACCGGCTACAATTATTTTTGTTTCTTTGAATAAAGATAATTTAAAATACAGATTTTTTTCGAGAAATGTTAATTGGACAAAGGGACCCACTTACCTAAATAGGTCGGAAAAAGCAGAGCCTAAAAATAACTAAACACGTGACTTGTTTAGTGCCGTCTTCATTCTTTAGTTGTCTGAAAATAACAAGTGGCTCGACACAGAGTATGCCATTGGATTCAACAAAATGATCAATTTTTTTTTTTTTGGAGTTCTATTAATGTTATGTGAGCGTGCATTTAAACAATTTTTAATATACCCTTATATTTCTATTGAAGTATATATATATTTGGGAGTGATTGCAATTTGACAACGAGTGAAATTTGAGCAGTCTAAACTATGAAATTTTGGTGGTAGGTGCGTAATATTTGTTCAGGAGAAACTAATCCAATTCATTGTTGTTGATATTAATGCTGATTGATCGTAGAAGAAAAATTTGAATTCGTTCATAGTGTGGGCCTCTTTACCCTTGCTATCAGCTATCCTTGGAAAATCGAAAGAGTTACCCAAATTAATAGATGGAATCTCTCCCTTGGTTTTGGATAGGAAAAGGCATCCATCGGTAATGAGAATCATATTGGTGGAAATATAGATTTCATGTACCCCGTG